AGGCCCCCTTCCCCGTATCCGACGTGCTGTAACACAGGTAGATTTATTTTTTGTATACGTTGAAATAAAATTTGTATATATTTTAAACATCGAGGGCTTATATTCAATAATACCCCCTATCTGCACACCTTTCACAAAGATGAGATTCTGATATAAAAATCCACCTAAGCTTTAACTGTCATCAGTGATATTAATGTTACCTTATATATAATTATATAATATCAAAAGTGTGTGAAAACCAATCAATTAACTTATATGATCTCGGTTCTGATATTAAATAATCAATAATTGTTTATACCCGCATTTTGGCACATTGGCTCGTTGAATGTGCCATCTAATAAGTAGTATCGTCGTTCTCCTTAGCTGCTTTTAAATGACTGCTGGCGGAGACATAAATACAGTGTAAGAAAATTCTTTTTTTATAATTGTTTCCTTATAGAAAGGTTGGGTACTTTTCCACCTTAGCACAGAATTCTTTCAGTGCTCCTCCGGGGTTTTGGACATGTACTTTTTCTTCAATTTAATAGTGTTTGCTTTATTTTTGTAGAAACGAAAAATGTTTTGCAAGTTATGGATCATTTCTCCACTCTTTCCTCAAATATTTCTCGTATTCCAGCTGTGCGCAGGCGTTTAGTTTTTCGCATGGTGTTTTTACATATTCGTAATTTAAATTTTTTTTATAGAATCAATTGGTGGTAGTTCATGATTGTGTGTGGATTAATATCACAACACTGAGGATTTGGCAAAAGCCTTTTTCATTTATTAAAAAACAACGCTTACGGGGCAATGTTTATTGTAAGAACAACATTTTTTTCTATGAATCGACATACTTTAAGCATTGTTGACGCTATTACCATATGAATGAGGAAATAGCGTCAATGACTTTATTTCCAAATTTTTGTTGACTTTATTTCACTTTTGAAAAGGCAATAATGTCAGTTGACTTTATTTCGCACCAGGGTGGGAAATAAAGTCAATTGACCTTATTTCCATTGACCTTATTACCTGTCACCGTTTTCGCTAGCAGCAATCGAATTTTTACTGGTGTGAAATACTGATTGATCCATAAGGACCTAAGCATTCCATATGTTTTCCCCGTTATGCTGGCAATATGATTGTTCCATGTCAGCGGCCTGTTATATATTACTCCTAGGTTTCTCGCAGTGTCAACAAACTCTATCACTGAATTGTTGAAAATTACTTTGTGATGATCATCAAGTGTGAACTGTCTTCTATAAATTGGAATACATTGATATTTGTTTGAGTTAATTACTAATCCGTTATTTCTAGCCAAATCGTTAACACGTTCGAGGTCAAAATTTAAGTTACGAATACAGACATTGATTGACGCAAAGGGACAGCTAACATAAAATTGGACGTCGTCGGCATAAATATAAATAACACAGTATATTAAAATTTTGGGTAAGTCGTTAATATACAGGACAAATAACAGTGGACCTAGTATTGATCCCTGTGGAACAACCCTAGACGTGGACAAAAATTCAGATATAGCACTACCAACACATAGAGCTTGTGATCGATTTGTTTGGTACGAAGTAATTAGGTCCAACGCTGATGACGAGAAATTAAACAAGTTTTTTAGTTTTAAACATACAAGTTTGGGGTCAACAGTGTCTAGGATTGCCAATTTTTTACTGCGCAAAATCAGTAGTTACACTTTTTTATGCTAAACAAGTAATAAAGTCTAAGTTCGGGCGGAGCCGAACATTAAATACCCGGCGCAAGTATTAAATATATGTTTTTTCACCTTTCCGAAACCTTCCGCTAGATGGTAAGCCGGGGTGTATCAATTTTGAGTAAATTAGCGTCCTTCAATTTCGAAATATTGAAGTTTCAAGCATTTCTGAAATTTACCGTTATATGAGAANCGGCCGTTATTTTAGTCCGATTGCAATAATTTTCAACGTTTTGCTTATATGTGGCAAGCACAATAACCGCAACGAATTTGGTACAAATTGGTAGAACGGTTACCGATATAC